AAGGGTCAAAACAACTAGAACAAAAACAAAAATCTAAGTCCCTAAACTCAAATTAAAATTAAACAACTTCAACTCAGAACTTTTAAAAACAACCTAACCCAAAACTTAAAGTTTACAAAAGTTACAATTTAAACTTACAACCAACTTTAAACAACAAAAAGAAAATAGAACTTACATTACAAATCAAAACTGAAATAAGCAAAACAACTTAAGCTTAAAAAAATGTATATAACGATTAATACATAACACAATTCTTTCGGAGAATCATGAAAGAATTTATGTAGATCTCACTTGCCAACCTTACTCACAATATTACTCTCGATTCTATTCTTCAAAATTTGCATATAAATTGGTTTAAATTTAAGCTTTTATCAAATCAGTATAAAAACCAAGAGGACCTTGTCGAAGATTTTAGAAGCAACACTATTATTACCGTTAACTCACACTCCATTTTTACCGCATTTTCGGCGCTATTGATTTATTTATTCTATTAAAACATGATGTCTCTGATTGGATTTCGTGCTGGTGCCACGTTTTAAGTGGTGGCATGAAAGCAAGCACGTGCAACTCGGGTTCCAGTGGCTCCATACAGCTCACGTGACAGCTGTGAAACTGTAGCAGTCTTGCGTAGCCTCCCTGAATGAGCCAAATAACGATACTAATTCAACGTTGTAGATCTGGTCGAGCTTATCCAGATCTACTTGATATGGATACAGTCTCCTGAAACTGTTTCCACAAGTTGCAGACGACATTGGGCGTTACATAGCGCCTTGTAGCGATGTGTGCTTGTGATTGGTTTGCGTTCAACCTACCAACAATCAAGGATCAAGGAAGTGCAATTTACGGAGTTCATAGGCAATTACGCCTTTACCTCCACATCTTCAAAAGAAATTAAATCATCCGAAAGAGGGGATTGTCGAATAGGGTAAAAATTTTGATAAGCCGAATGACTTGGAGTAAGTGCCTTCACACTGAGTCAAAAAAAAGGCAAAAAACTCAGAAGGTCTTAATTTTGCGCCGAAAAAGGGCCAGAATAATTTAGATAGGGGCAGCCATAAAAATTTTGACTAGAAAAATAAAAGGTGAAGCCTACCAACAATACACCATACGTACGTGTCTAGTCATTTTACCTGATACCCTATGAAATTTCTGTAATGCTTATGAGAAACGTGGTGAAAATAGTGAGGGAGTACGAACACACAAACCGTCGCCGCAGGCACGCACGTGTACGCTTACATGTTTGACCCTGAATATTTGTATAATTTCTAGGCAGCACTGGTTCAATACTTTTCATAAATTTAGGTATAATGTGCCAATTTCCTGAATTTTGCACAAGAGTTTGATTCAAAATATTAATGCTCAGTGCTTTAGCCTGAGGTAAGCTGACATGTTGGACAAGCTAACCGAAAAATGTTTGTAGAAAATAAAGCCGATAATAAGCAGTTGGTAAGGAAGAAATTTTAATGATATTTAAAAATATTTTTACAATGATAATCTTAACTAACTGAAAAGTAAATTAGTTTATTAATATGTCAAATCTTTTTCGCATTTTTATCAACTGTTAAAAATATTATAATTCTTGAATACTTACCTTTTGATTACATTAGTCATTAGAATACTAGGTGGTGGTGTGGTGTATTTAATTATGGCAAAGCACACTAGGGCTATCTGTCTAAGAGAATGCTTTCGTGGAGGACTTTCTAAGGGAAACTAACTCGTATACACGTTGCATATGGGGAAAACACCCATGCAGCCTGCCCGTTCGCGGGATTCGAACCTCGGACCGAACTACCAGTATTCAGCGACTTTACCGCTCGGCTGCTGGTGAGCCCCATTAGAGTACTAGATTGAGCGACATTAAATTTTCTCTTCCTATATACAGATTAGATCTGTACTTGACAATTATTATTACACGAGAGAGAGATTTAGTTTGCTGCGGATTGTCTATGCATTATTATAAAATATTACGAAATGGGCAAGATTATAAACTATAAGAAAAATTTCGCATTTAGCTTATTACCAAAAAATATGAAATTGTTACTAAAATATTTTTATGTGTTTTATGAAATTATTTTTAAAATACCTAGAGCAAGTACAAGATCCTGAGCTAACGCAAACCTTGTTAAAGTATGACGCTTTTAATTGACTTGACCTTTTATATATGCATTTCCCACTGACACAATTGGACCTCCGCTGTATGCCACAGAAGAGAACTATCTAAAGACTTCTTCTAAGTAACGTTCAAACAAAAAAAATGGCTATTTGATAAAAAAAAGTATTTAAAAATAAATGATAAAATAAGTTTACAATTTTTATCAAAATTTTACCATTTGTACCTTGTTGGGTAACTTACTTCAAGAGATGGTAAATAAGGAATTTTAATTGGAGACACTACTAAACATTTGTTGAATATAAATCCCGTGAAATAAACGTCCAAGCTTCACAAGTGTACGATCTTCATAATGTGATTGAAATTCAGGAAGAAATATTTTTAAGTTTTTAAAGATGTGCAAAATTCTTGGGAAAGTTCGCTCTTCCCTCTGCTCATTAAAATATTTCCATATTAAATCCCGTTAGAATTTAACAGAGAGCAAGAAAAAAATGATTTATGGAGTGTAGTTGAATTATTGCAATTTCGAAGAAAAGAAACGTAAGTACAACATTGTGGAGAACGAGACATCAAGCCTCGCACAAGTTTATGGAGAGTTACCATTAGAAAAGAAGGGCATGTATATTTTTAAACGAAACTTTTATGGCGCAGAATGCATTAAAAATTATTAATTGAGTTTCAGACTCGTGTTACACAGAGTATAGTTCGATCATAGTTTCTAATTCTTGGTACCATGGTGCCAAGAACTAGAAGTTATATTGCCAAGAACAAGAAGCCGTGAAACTCAAACTATACTCTACTTTACATAATACGAATTTGAAGCTCAACTAATTATTTTTCAAACATTATGGTTTGCAAATATGCAGTACCAGTTTAATGTAATTTGTTTCATCTCTATGATTCAGCAATGAGGCATCGATATGTATCTAAGTCTGAAGTTCCTCGCACTTGCAAAAACGGCAGAGCCATCAAATTTTAAACAGACGTAGTCCTCCACCCGAACATGTGCAAATCGAACTTCGAATTATTATTTTTTTATTTCATACTTTAAGTAAATTTATTGAATGTTTGATTAATAAACTCAGCGATTTAAAAGAAATATATTGCCACTTGGTATACCGCAAAACATTAATTTTTAAAATTTAATCAGAAAACTTGGCATTTAAAAGAAAGAAGTTGAAAAATAATCGGTAAAGCTAAGATATTTGTATTTCAAATTTAATCAACAGTTCATCGATTTAAAAAAAGTGTTGCCTCTACTCGAAGTAAAATATTTTATCTTCCGCATGCAAGTCTGTTGCCATTTGCCATTAGGCAAAGCTTAGGTTATTTAAATTTTCTTTTAATCTTTATTATTAGTCTTAATTAGTAGTTTAGTTTAGTGACGGAGGACGTGGGCACCATCCCTTTACCGTTATGGTTAATTGGTAATAGCACCACGTCCACCCTTATCTAGAGACTAGTGGGACTACAGGTCATACTTTACAGCACTTACGATATCGTACAATATAAATAAACCATACAATTTCCTACATATGCATGATACAGTATATAATCAAACAGGATTATTAAAGCATAATGCTGGTGCGTATACAGTTAAAATGCAAAAGTTAAGATGTAAAATACTAAGTATCGATTTAAGTTATATGACTAAATAATATTATATTATTCATGCATAAAAAACCTTAAAAAAAAATAAAAAAATAAATAAAAAATTAAAAAAAAAAAAATACAATATCCTACATATGCATGATACAGTATATAATCAAACAGGATTATTAAAACATAATGCTGGTGCGTGCATACAGTTTTAAAATGCAAAATACTAAGTATCAATTAATTATATGATTAAATATTATTATATTATTCATACATAAAAACCTTCAAAAATAATAAATAATAAATAAATAAAAATAAGTAAATAAATAATGTGCTGTATATATATACATAGAATATGCCATACAAAATAATACACATACACATTAGGAGCAGAATGTGGAATATAGGATCATACAAATACAGGATCAAGTCGTGAGGATCATTGAAAAGTACATACTTAATGTACTTCACAAATTCAGCCATAAGTATCATTCATACAAACGTAAGCATTCTGGAACAACAAAAACCAATAATGGTGTACCCTCATATTTGCTACAATACACTACACTGGTACAGTAATTTTTCTTATGAAATATTTTACTTTTACATTTCAGAGACACAAAATTTGATAGAATTTGTACTGAGTGACTATTTGAAAGGGTACGTTAAGACTGTGGTAACTAATAAGCAAAGTAAACATATTGTTTTTCATAGGGGGGTGCATAAGATACAGTACAATGATCATTTCATTAGATCAGTCCGTTATAAGAATATCACTAAAATCTATAAATGTAGCATTAAACCAGAGTTTACCACGAAGATTATGTACTTTGCATCAATACATTATGCCTATGAATGCTACACCTGGCACAGGTCTATTCCAAGACCTTTAACCTTTTCCATAACCTTGTTATTTTTATTAATCAAGTGCCTCTGCTTGATTAGAAATTTGCAAACGGCTTGAAGATTTTGCGAAGGGAATCTGATATGTAAGCCTTCTGTAAGAGGGCATTTTTCAAAGTAATGCTCCGGAGAGCCTAACTCTCCGCATGTGCAAAAACTGGAATCGCTTATTTTATATCTCTCAAAATAAAGAGGAAAAGGGCCATGCCGTGAGATATAACGTGTCAGATGGGGATTTCCACAGCATCTATCTTGTGTAACGTAAGAAATATGGTAATAAATACGACGACCAGTGGTACTATAATCCCATTCTTCTTGCCACTTACTGATTGCTTTGAGACGTAATGCAGATTTCAAATGTGAATGCGGCCAAGGTATGTGAATTTGTTCAGCAGCAATTCCAAAAGCGGCCTCCTTGGGCGAGAGTATCTGCAACTTCGTTTCCATATTCACCCATATGTGCCTTTATCCAAGCTAAGTGGATGTCATGGCGTTGATATTTTCTAAGATCTTGTTGAATATCTCTAATGATTTTGGATGGGTGTTCTGGATTACTAATCGCATAAATAGCTGAAAGGCTATCAGATTTTATAGTAGCCTTTAGGATTTGGTGGGTTAGCAAGTAGCGAATAGCTTGCGCTATTGCTACTGCTTCCCCTTGAAAGACACTGTTATTGTTAGCCAAATGGCCCTTCCATTGTGCAATGAGACTATTTTCTTGTAAGACAGCAAATGCGCTCCCCACATTTCCTTCAATTTTAGATCCATCCGTATAAATTACTATACTCGAGGGGCTACGGTATTCTGTAGGCGGGACATGTAGTCTAATGCCAACACCATAATCCGCAGGGTGAATGCTGTCAGATGTTAGTTTGGTTTCATATTCCTCCGAAGTAAAATTTTCTTCAGCAAATGCTATTGGCTTGTGTAGCTGTATTAACATTTGTCGTGCTGCTTCCTCTTCAGTTCTAATATGCAGTGGGAGCAAACCAGCCAAGACATTTATTGCATCAGTGGAACATCAGTGGATCAGTTTAAAGTAAATATATACCCAAGTTATGCCTAAGGCAAAAGGGCGCTTAATAGTAGAGAGATGCTTGATTTTTCTCCTCTGCATAGGGAGAGCCCAAATTGCTGCAGCATAAGTTACTAACTTTTCTACAACCGTTGTGTATAAGATCTTTTAAATGTGGTTGTTCAAACCCCACTTGTATCCATAAAATTGTCTTAGTTGTTTGGCGATGGCCAGGGTACGCTTTTTATTAGAGAGAACATGAGGAATCCACGTAAGTTTTTCATCAAAGGTAACACCAAGATATTTTAATTCTTTTAGAATTTTGAGCCTCTGACCATTGAGTACAATACGCGGTCTCCTTGCCAAAGAGCCTCCCTTCTTAGGCACCAGTAAAATTTGACACTTATTTTCTGCTATGACTAATTTCAGTTCGTCACAATTTCGCTGGAAAATTTGACAGGCCTCATTGCAGTTCTTTTTCAATTCTTCACGAGAATGTCCCTTGACAACCAAGGCCGCGTCATCGACATAGGCAAAAATGTTCGTATGCGCAGGCCAGGAAGCATTGAGTAGCTTATTGAAGGTTAAATTCCAGAGTTGAGGACCTGCGCAGGAACCTGCGGGCATCCTCTCGTCTGTGACTTTTCAATAATTCCCGCTGAATGTATAATCATTATTCTTCGATCCTGTAGATAATGATTTATAGTATTAAGATATTGCTTGGGCAGCCAGAACTTCTTAGAGCCTGCAAGATCGCTGGCCACCATAAGTTGTCAAATGCACTCTTCAGGTCTAAGCTGATGAGTGCTGTATGGAGACCGTGATATTTGTTGTCCATGATAGCCTCTTTGATATCATGCAAAGCGTGTAAAGTGGAAGTTCCTGGCCTAAATCCATATTGCCTGGGACTGAGGATATTATTAACGTGTAGATAATAGCGTAGTCTGGTCATATAAGGAGTTTTTTTCAAACAGTTTACCAAGAGCCGGAAGTAAACAGATTGGTCGGAAAGATGTGGGTTCCGCTGGATTGCGATCTTTTTTTTCAAAAACAACACCACTTGTCCGATTTTAAACGATTTCGGGAATGTACCCGTAGCTAGTAATTTATTGAAAAAGCTAACAAAGATTGTTGGCTTGGCCAAAACGACTGTTTTAACGATTGCATAATCAATGCCATCAGGGCCAGGGGCCTTTTTCTTTGGCAAATGCGCTAATATATGTTTTAGTTCTTTCAATGTAATATCCCTATCCGGTGGCACGTTGGTAGACATCTGTTCTGTACGTATAGTTGCTTGTTGCTTAGAATCTTCGGTTGGGTCATCCTGACTGAAGACGGAATCCAGGATCTGTATTAATGTTTCCCTTGTGTAGTCCTGAGTAACATTTATTCGTGTAGGGATGTGTAACTGGGCAGGCCTAAACAGCTTTCCAGTCATAATCTTATGATGAATACCATAGATGTTTTGTGACTCTGTACAAAAAGCATGCCATGAATTGATTTTAGCCTGCAAAATTGAACGTTTGTACTTCGCTCTTGCCTGTTGATAAATTGGGAGGGTGTTAGCTAGAAGGTTTAGTCTACGCTCAGTCTTTAACCTTCGACGTAATGCGCGACTTTGCTGAATACGAAGTTCACTACTCCACCAATTGATCGTAGTCAGTTTTTACAGTTTCTGGGGGAGGTAGGGAACATCATAAGAATTGCATAGGAACCCATGCCCGGAAATATCAGGGTTAAGTGGTAGCAGTGGTAGAAGATGGGAAAAGAATTAAGTGTGATTAATTTGAAACATTTATTGGACATCAATACAAATAGTGTATGACAGCTTGAAGGTTTCAACAGATGCTCGAAGTTTGCACCATCAGACGCCGTACATGCCTGATACCGACGGACCATTTATTGCCGTACATGTTAAACACACCGGGAGTTTCTTTGATTATAGCAGCTGCTCAGGCAAGTCTTGTCACGAGATCCATTTCAGACACAACAGGATTGTGATACACGACACTTTTGATGACTTCCTGCAAAACGAAATCAAGGCCGATAAATCCGGTAAGCGATGGGGGGGCAGAAATCTGGTCTACCACGCCCAATCCATCGATACGGGAATGATCTGTTCAAATGGCTACGAACATCCAGTCCAAAATGAGTCCTCTCCTAATGACCCGTAGTCGCACAAATTTGGATGCAGACGTGCAAACAAACTGTGGTATGTTTGATGTCTGTCGGAAAAGCGTTCTCGTTAAATTCGTGCAGCGGTTCGTCCATTACCCTCAGCAAATCCATTCACTAAGCTATTCCATACTCAGCTATTCCATAAGTGCAAGCTCCCGGTTTGTATAGCGTTCCATACTCTTCGTATGGTACCTACCGCTGGAATGAGGCAATCCTCACTTGTTGTAATGAAATTTTCTGCGAAGCAGTCTCCTGTACAACACCCCCTGACGGCGTACAATGACGTTTCTGAGCATGTGTTCCTATGCAATTCTTAATCCTTATGATGTGCCCTATCTCCCCCAGAAGTTTGTCGTAACATTTACGGGACAACCTGTATATACTATAGGTGTAGTAATACTAATAGATGAATCACGTTCATCTCTTTAAGCATATATTTTCTATTTCAAAAACGATTTGTGGCATCAACCATGAGAATGGCAAGAAGTAATTTGATATGTTTTTAATTTGCAGCTTAAATTGCACTTAGAAGTCATTATTTTGAATTATTGCACACGAAACAATGAAATCTTGTTTAATAGTTTCCTCCAACTGAAAATTTTGCTTTGCTTACTGTTGTACCTTCCATTTTTAAAAGAAAACGGAGTAACTTTTCATAAGTAATTAAGTAATTTTTCTTAAATTACTACTAATTAGGGTCTCATTAGTGATTGTTTGAAACTTTTAATAATAATTAATGATATTTTACGTCTTTCTCTTATTCTTCGTTAAAGCAGGATATATTAAATATTGATTGTAGATATATGCGCACATGTAAAATTAATAAATTGAAATGTACTTCCTGATTATTTGCTAGCCGTTTTCAACATTCAGTAAGACTGGTTTGCTTGGTTGTATTTTCGATTATACACCATGAGGTTTGATTTGTTTTGTTTGATTATGGTAAAATCTCACGACTATCTACTTGAGGGTAGGGATGCCTAAATGGTGGGCGTTCTAGAAGAAACTGGCTTTGGACAAACACTACACATGGGAAAAGTCACGAAAACATCCTAGTAGCCAGCCCGTTCGTCGAGATAATTTAACCGGAGCGGTTAGTGAATTTACCGCTCGATTTCTGGAGAACCTATGAAGTTAAGAAGAGTTATCTTCCTTCTTACCTCAATGGCATATAAACGACAACAGCCAACCTCGGATGTGCGTACCATACATGTGTTTTGTATACGTGTACGGTACACACATGTGAATTTGCATGCATTAGATATTAGATTTAACTATACAGAATCTACCGGGTGTAAAAATATAAATATTAGCCATATATAAATTTTTGATTATTTATTTAATTTTTATTAGCCCAAATGGTGATAGCCCAAAAGGGCTATTCATTTTGTTTTGGCATTTTGCGTTGAAAACGTAAATGCGTTGAATCACTTTTCAAATTGTTTCCACTAAATATTATAAACCTGTATTGTATTTAAAGAAATTAAATAATGAAGAATCTTCATAAATGTATGTAGGTTTCCCACATTGTGATAGAACAACGGTACCTAGAGTCGTCATATTTTAAAAACATATTCCTTCCCCCGAATATGAGCATCTGGAAGCCCAAATTTGAAATGTGAAATTAGTCTTATTATCTATTTCATATTTTGTGAAACTTTTACTAATTTTAGATTAACAAACTAAACAGTTTCAAAGCGAGCAATGGCAACACTTTACGAAAAAAAACACTGTTATCTTCAGGACGCGAGACTGTGCATCGGAAATTCTAAAGATATGCTCTTTCTAAGTTATTTTGTGATATTGCTGTTGAATTGAATTCTATGATTTAAATGCGAAGAACATAATAGGAGCTAATGTTACCATTATTCGGAAAGATTTAGCTCAACAATCTCATTTGGACGCCATCCTGTATTAACCTCCAGACTGCGTCTGTTGATAAAATCGACATTGATCAGAAGTTAAACATGAAAATTACGTTTGGAAGTTCCGCTTAATATCACACGGCATACGTGGCAGATAGTACAGATCCTTGCGTATTGGACTCTTTAAAGAAATACATCTTTTCCTTGCATTTTAAAAACAACAAACTGCTTTCAGCATCAGAGGACACAATTATCCATTATCATAAGGAATCCTCACCTGGAAATGCCGACGTATTTTATGAAAGAAAGCTGTCAAAATCATACTAGGATCGAAGAGACTACCAGCTATTCTCCATCGGGAAATGCTCATCAGTACTCATCTCCTTCGTCTGCCTTGTTTGGTCGCCCTCCTAATGCGCCTTCATCGCCTGAAGAACACATCCAAAATCTCCATACCCAGTCTGAAGTGATGCACTATTTTGAACAAGAGCGAGTCAGCTTGGCGACGGAGAAGATAAAAACCCGATACGACAGCAGAGTTACTGGACATCGATTCAACGAAGTAAACAAGGTGTGGTTGTGGAACCGACTCAACGGAAAGGACTCTGTCTGAAACTACAGTTATCTTAGCATAGACCGAACACAGTCCTAAACTGGCTGAACGATGTCGTGTTCGGATCCGTAAGTCAGCGAACACTAAGCCTAAAGTCGTTCATTACGACAGATTAGCTCCTTATGATGGCCATAGTACGTAGTGTATATAATTGCAAATAATATAAGACCATGGTCCTTTTTGTTTCTAAATTTTTATTTTTATTTGATTTGTATTTAGTATTTGTTTGAAACATAAACAATAATTAGAAGTTACTCATTCTAATTATTGTT